TTCTTTAACAGATAAGCCGTTTTAGGTTTATAGACCGTAGCATGGAAGCTGGTTAAACGGTAACATACGAAACAGCGACAAAACCATCAATCCGTGGTTGACTGCAAAGTGCATCGGCTATTACATTATATTATTAGGATAGTATCGAACAGATGTAGCGTGTTTCACCTATGCCCTTCAGATAACCAACTCATTTGCGTTTATCTATTAAAAGATTCCCTCGTACATACTAGCAGGCAAATCAGTTGGTATCTACTAAATTTCAGAAACTATATACTATAAACTTTTTAACTATTTAACAATATAAATCTAGACAAGCCTAACGTAAACAAACTAGGTAAATGCTAAGGTACTGTTATAACTTACGCCGCATTCCTGGGGGAGAGCGTAGTCCCAAATAGGACATACATTGATCACAACGCAAATCATGCGAGCGCCACGACATTTCATAATTCCCTGATACTTGTTGGTCGCCCATAATGATCTGTGAAAATACAGGTTAAATGTGCAGTAAATAGACTCTTATAGAATAAATAGACCCTTATATGTTCAATGAAAACAAAAGTTGTGCATGTACTCTGATGGGTCATGCGAGTAAAGAAAGGCTTTTTTTTTTTCAGAAATGGCCGTATTTTGGACGATGCATCAAGTTCACCATAGCTCGGAGTTCTTCAACCTTTCTGTCTCATTCCGTATCCCACATCTTCACGACTTCGTTCATTCGGGTGTACGTTTGCCAATATTTTTTCTGTCTGTATGAAGAATGATGTGTTTAAGTGAATAGTATAAGTCTCTGCTATTCTAATGAAAGTACCCGCAGTATAATTACTAGAGCCTTTGAGGAATTACCAAGTATTTTATAATTGGCATTGCATCACTTGCCGACACTGACGCAATAGCTGAACAATCATGTTGCTAAATGTAAATGATTCAGTTAATTGAAGTTAGTGTCCATGCTTGTAGTATGAATCTAATGCCGGATCTGACACATACTTCGTATATTTTCCTCACAGGCGACACTGAATAACAGGTAGCCTGTACTACTGCTGGTTTGTTCGCCCCTCCTCGCACCGTGCGAAAGCAATAAGAGAGACATTTCTCCGCCAACCCGCAATTCATGTATGAGAGGTCCCAGGAAATCCAAAAAAAATAATTTCGTGCATGGTCTTTCTTTCTTTAACGATTTTCACAGGCATTTTACCTGCCGCTGGCTTTGTTAGGAGTACCAGTCGAAGTGACATTTGTCAATAAGACCTTGAACCTCGTATATCAGTTTTGGACGCACACCGAACTGATTCCTAAGTTACCGTGGCCCATTGAATTCATTTTCAACACACCATCCCACCACAGAGTTCATCATGCTCGACAAGCCAAGTAAGGACCTATACTGTAGTATTATAGAATTAAATCTATATCCGCATGTAACGGGGGCAATGCGAATCTTCAGCAAGAGATGTGGTGCTGTGTATATAGCAAACCGGTGATAACACGTAGTTATATATATATATATAGCTAACGGAGTAATCTTAAAAATGCACTAGCCTGCCCAGGGCATACATACACATACAGGCATTCAGATTTTATAATTTTGTTTCTGTGAAATAAGAACAATTTGACACAACAAACTTGGAATATACATATACTACTAATAGTTCACTTGAACGATATATCGAGAAACCTGTTCTCACACCAATATAAAGTATCGAATAGAATATTAAAAAAAACGCATTTTAAAGTTTGTCGCCGGGACACTAGGCGAAGTTCATATTCAGTATAACGGCTGCGCATAAGTCTTCATTTTTAGTCGACAGCTGAAACGATCAAGTTGGACTCGATGGCATTTATTAGCGACCCATAATGGCTTTTATCGATATGCTATCCTACGATAAGCTTTATTGGAGCTAGCTAAACAATGGCTTCAGAAAGAACTCTAGGATATTCATTCTAGGTGTATGATATATATAGGGCAAATGATAACAAGTTTTCATTCGTCAGGTACTTGGATAAAAATTACGGCTCATTCTTAATTATCTGGGATCGAATTTTCGGAACCTTCTGTGAGGAAGAAGAACAACCGATTTACGGTCTGACAACGCCTCAAAGGTCCCTTAACTTCATCTATTATCAGGTAAGGGTACAAGTTGCATTACTTGTCGACTGCTCAATATACTCTTATTAACATCACTTTTATTGTGGTGGAAAACACATTTTCACTTAATTTTCACTTATCAACCTCGTCATATATGGAGCTTATGAAATGTCATCAATCTCTATTTGCTTTATTTCAGTATATCGGTTTTTTAGAACTTTATTATAAAGTGCGCTCTATGAAAGGATGGAAGAACAGATTACAGTGCATAATTAAAGGTCCCGGCTGGGAACCTGGCTCTCCGTGGACTGGTGATCCGGCAAAGGTAATTCCAATTAAGTAGGAAAAACAATTTAAATACATTCCATATCTTGCTGAGGTAGATTTTATTTTAAGTCTTCAATTGTCGATTTTTTCCCGTGAAAGACCGGCTATTCGTGTGCTAAATACACTCATAATAACCACGTGTCAATGTTACGCAGGTCCCTACGCCGGATCCCTCCGACAGACCAGTATTGCATCAGCTGGCGTGGTTTTGGCAGGTTTTTCTTAGCTTTGACTTCGTTTTCAGCTTGGCTCTCTTTTCAAATGTTCTCCTGCGATACGATGTAAGTAACTGAGTCGGCGTATCAATATTCGCGTGTATCGGAGTGCTTACGGAATTAAAATATTTAATCAAGCCAGATTTAAAAAGAATTTGTTTTTAACGGAAGTAGCAGGTATGCATAACATTTATGCTTGATAATCTGCAGCAAGTGTTGCGCGTAACGTGACAAAATACTGTTCTAGTTTTAATGTTTCGTACGATTCTGTTTAACCTAACGATAAATAATGCGAATAGTTGACATCGACTTATCTCCGTTTTTCAGCAAATCCCCTATGTAGTGTTCATAGTGGCGATCATTTTTTGGCACATTCAGGGATTCTGTCTAGCGCGTGCTCTTGAAGGCGACCCACTGGCCGCTCTGTTTCAAGTTGTAAAATTTGCGAGCGTTTGTTTACTGTCAAAATCAGCTTGGAGCATCTTCGGCCGCTTTTCTCCTGCAGAACGCTTAATTCTCAACGTCAGCGGATTGCTTGCTTCCGCCTTATACGTAGCCGCTTGCATTAACATTTTTTGTGCGCTTACCCACGGACCGTTGTCTAAGACAGACAAACTTAAGCTTCACTAATTTGAATTCGAACTGTGCTGTTATTTCTGCCAGAGAAAAAAATATCCTTTTACGCAAGAGATATGGAATATATCTTCTTAACAAAAAAAAGAATACATTTTTTTTTCGTTTTAATTTTTTATTTTAATGCTCACAACTATTCAGATAGGAAACGTACAGTTTTGTACAGTTATTAGATTAGTAACGAATGTCAATGTTTACACGGATAAAGATAGGCAATGGCTGAGATTGGAGCATCACTTCAGCATGTAGGTTAAAATTCGATAAACCTCGACTTTAATATCTACTGTCTACCATCTCATATTAACTGAAGACGTCGTAATTGAGTTCAATGGTCTCCTGATACATCTGATTTTCGTGAATCTATAGCAATACTGGATCTGTATGACATTCATGAAATCACGGAAAACTCGTCATTGCAAGACGATTCTAGTCCGACAACATAAAAATGCACCAAAACACAGAAACAAAATAGAAATGCAAAAAAAAAGATATTCATGTGTGACCTTACTGTGCATTTTAATAAAATGCTATAAGCGATCAGCTTATGGATACCTTTAGCAGATTCTTACTTAATAGCAGCATTCAACTAACTGTCAGATTCGCTGTTTCCAGCCGAACATCGTTTGGCGGGAAAAATACAAAAAGCCGACTTGACAACAATTACAGAACTATACTGAATAGCACTTTCATTTGTTCAAAAACAAATGTCTCGCACGCGAAAAACGTAATTGTGTAGCTTATATTAGTGAAGAAATAATGTAGGTATGCCGCGTTTGTTGGAACTATTTAAGCATTCTAGACGTTTGCAAATATTGCATCAACAATTTCATATCTCTAAGTTCGTGCACACCTGTTTCGTACACGCTTTCCGTACCTCATTCACGTTAGTTACTAAGGATGTTGTGCAACACGTGATCACGTACCGCATGAGCGAAAAACGCACGTGATCCTTATACCATATATATTATAAACCAGTGATATATGATATATCATATATCACTGGTTTACAGAATAAGTTGTTATACGATTTGAGGGTTTCTTTATACTATTTAAACGTTAATTAGGAGATAATAGTTTTTTTTTTTTTTTTTTTTCTGTAATTTATGTATAATAAGGATGCGCATCCTAATTGGGCATCTGGTATACGGAGGTGTCGTTGCTCGCGGTTAAACGTGACGGAATATGTAACATAGTCATGCTTTATTCTCTTTATTAAATACTGAACTGTTTTATTTCCACGAGCCATCTTTAAAGTTTGATTTTTAGTTGATTTTACATTCCTTTTAGATTGTCGTAATATGTTACGTCGTTATGGAATTTGTTCCGAAAATATGTAGGGCCTAGACAGCCGAGGCCAGAAACACATTGGTCTCTACAGCTACTCGCTGGGATAGCAGAGCTCGATGACATATGGGTAACATTTAACAATCGTTATCCTATCAATGGCTATAGCTACGGTAGAAGCTTTCATTCATCATTCATTATCTTATAATTTCTATTCATGCTATTAAGATTTTGCCAAAGAAATCCAACTCTGGCATATAGGAAGTACCGAGGATATGGTCAAACATGCTCGGTATCCACTAAAATGTAGAAAGTGAATAGTGTAGTAGAAATCTATAAAGAGCTAAAATTTAAAAGAGCTGATTAAATGAACCAGGATCCATGATATATGTTATGTCCGGCCCCAAGTCACTCATTTAAATACTCGGAGAAGATTATAGGTTAATTTAGGCTATCTTACGCTGTGACGTTCGCAGCGAAAATCAGAATAGACCACAAGAGCAGCGGCAACGAGAACATCAGAACGTCGCCGACGAATACACATTTCACTTCAGCTATTGCCTAAATTTTCTAAAGATTTCTAGATATCTACATCGTTGTTTTATAGCTCAGATTCTTTGTATGGACTCACAGCAAACAAACAAAATTTGTATAACCAAACTGTGACAATTTTACACTTTAAAAACATTTAAAAAATCTTTGCCTTTAGCTACTAAGAAATAATAATAAAAAAGGTCTTTGAAATAGTTTCGAAGAATTTAAACCGGCATAAACCGCTGCCGCGATGTCAGTTATCCACAAGAAAAACACTGTCAAATAGAATTGAATTGGCCGAGTTGTTTTTCAGTGAAAAAGCGCCCCGACGTCATCAAAACACTAATTTCGGTCTGCGGTTCCCATTCAATCGCTCTGGCTTTAACGAATCAACCGAAGTCCTATGTAGTAGCTCCATAAAAAGAGGAATGGTATACGAGTGATATGTTTACTTCAATTTTTCTTTAGGTTAGACATTTGTTTGTGGTTCTACCATATAATTAAGGTTAGACGCCGATTAATGAACGGCATCGTTGTAATCGGAATTGTTTCGTTCTATCTGTGTACGGGCTGGCCCATCGACTTCCACAAATGCTTCCGCTGAGCCTTTCTGGCTTATAAATTTTGGTCGAACTTCATACAATTGGATCTACCAGCGTAAATGTCTATAATAGAAACCGTTTCCGTATTTGCGACTGCCGCCGAGCTGGCAGTACCCTCTTTGCCCGTCGTAATAGCATGGTAGAACGAAAAAAACATCGTAAGGGAATAAGGAGCATCCTGTAGTAACTCATAATTCATACACTTTGCGGAAACGACTTGACTAGTTGCACTAAGTATATCTCTATGTCTTGAATATTATATGTTATTATATTATTATATGTTATATAAGTGTTATATGTACATGCGTGTTTATGAATTTAACCAGTCCCGGGCTTGACGTGCACATAGCACTTCTTTTTTGTCCACGTTTAAGTAATAATTCTGCCGTGCATAGTCTACTAGCTCCGAAAGCATATGACGCTGACCGGACGATTATATCAAGCCACAGTTGGAAGTACCCTACATAAAACCAAACTTGTTAATGTATTGATGGCCGGAGCTCTCAAAAAAAAAAGTATGAATCCATGCCATTTTTAGAGTCTGCAAGTGCAGTAGGACAAACCGACAATTTAGGACGGCGATGCCCACTGCAGGTGCCTTCCTCGTTTATGCTTTCCTTGATTATGTTTAAATAGTTGCTCTACGTAACTTGCTTGTAAAATGTACCCTATCAATCAAACTGATACGAGGAATATCACCTATGATGATGTAAGCTCAGGTATGATTTGGCACTGCTGCTAAGCACGAGCCATATACCTTTACTAAGAAATAATGCCGCATGAACGTACCACGCAAATCTGCACTTCTTGTAGGTACATGTAACGCTGATTTTATTCGATAGTCCCGTATTAGTTGATCGACTCGTCGATTTTTCTTGTTACGGAGAAAAGTGTTTAACTGTTGCTCGTCGAAGGGTTTCGTTAACGCGACGTGACCTGTCTTAACGATAGCAACCCTGAGTGACTGTGCAATGATCCAGTAACTACCTCTCATAACTCTAAGAGACAGTAACCTGCATAAATATTTCACATCAGTATAAACTATATATGCCCCTAATAAAACAGGTAGCGTTTCACTCGAATTTCTGGTCGCTGTGCACAGCCTTTCTATCTTCCAATCAATTCGTTTATTCCTTCTCGCCAAAAATGTTCGAGTTGCCCGGGCAACTTTTGAGACCATTGTAAAATGTCCAGTTACCAATACCATTTACAGCAATCGTAAAAAGTGACAATCCGTTGGCACAAGGTTTGAGGAAAATGTGCTTTTTCAACAGTTGCTCTCCTTTCAAGCAATGCAACTGAATCATATACAGATTCTTGCTGACCGTCTTGTTCTGTTCAAGCGTTTCCCCTAGCATATAGGGGCCTGCAAGTTTAACCAGGCCCAAACCGTGCTTGTTGTTTGCACGGAGCAGCGGCGCTGCTCAAATTTTTCCCAGCTCTATATCGGCGTGGGGATGCCAGTTCTCGTGACTGTCTAGGCCAACTTCCATGTTGTTCGCCATTCGAAGGCCCCAAACAGTACGTCCTCCTGGTCTAAAATCGCTTCTTTGCTGTCCACAATTCAAATATCCCATGCTGGTTTACCCATTTTTCGACCTCGACAAAGGGCGGATCTGAGCTTGGCGCGCAAAAGAAATTAGAAATTTATAAAGAAAGTGCTTTGGAATGATGTATGGGACTAAACAGGCAATGGACACAAAATGAAAAGGAAACATCAAAAGGACATAGAACATAATATGAACGCTAAAAAGACTTTATTGCTCTATTTATTTGATACAGCCGTTCAAAACTTGAGTGCACTCAAAAATAAATAATTCAGGCTTCATGTCCCGAATTTACGACTTAAAATTCATATACAAGATCCACGTATTCCTAGTTTTAACAGACAGGCACGTTACTGCTTCGTCTTAAAAAGCCCATCTGTTCCCGAATTGTTATAATATTCCAAAATTAAAAACTTTTTGGGGATTCCGCATTTGACCTCACTTCATTGGCGTCGGCAAAGTGCTTTCAATGGAAGATGTCTCCTGAGATATTTGAGTAAGACCATTGGGAGCTTGCTTCCAGTGAACAGTAAAATTCCATTTAAGCCTACTGAACTTTAGTGTATATCTCATTTACTTTTTGCGCTACTACAAAATCGTGGGATTTTTCTGCCTCTTTTAAATCACACGTTTTCGCTTGTACGTCTATTGTCTGAATATCCAACAGCAGTAACGGTGAGCCAAAAAAAAACACAGCTTTAACGTATAAAGTCTCTTGTTGATATGAAATCAAACCACATTGTCGGACTCTACTAAGTTTTGTGTATAGAAAGCACAGGAGCCATCGGCAAACACAAACGAATCTAGGATAACCAATTTTACCATCCAAGACATGGTTCCCTAGCTTGCACTGGTTTCAATCCGTGTGACCCATGGTTTTGCTTTGCTGTGTTGATTAAAATTCTACAATGTACCGTTTTAAATAAATGTGTAGTGTATTTCAATTTAAAACCTGACTTTACGAGGTTAATGAGTTCCGTTTGATCACTAACTTTGTGCGTCGGCGGTTAACATTTGCTTCTAGAGTAAGTATTCAAAGACAGCCCTGTTCCTTTTCCAACAACAACAAGCGCTATCAACAATGCTTAGAAAATAGTATTAACGTAAGCCTCTGAAACCACCTGCTGTTTCATACCGCTTATTCCCTAATGCCTTATACTTAAACTTAGATCTCTTATATTACTGAGATGATTTTCCACGTAAGCATATTTTCTCCTGTATGAGGAAGTTTTTTAGAGAATACTTATGAAAAACAATTTTTTAATTACTCGTTGCAAAATTTAACCCAGTGTATCTGTTTCTTTCAGTTCTGTGGATTTCTAAAAATTGAGAAACGTTTACATTCTCAGACGAGTTAAATGATTTCCGAGTATAGTTGCGTGTGGAACAATATCCACGACATTTCTGATTGCTGCTGCAGAATAAGACTAGCCATACAAGGAAAAATATGTGATTTAAAAGAGACGAAAGATGTTCACTATTCAATGTATAGTGAGACAATGACGTTGCTCAGGTATGTATGAAATATCTATATAAGTAAGCCGGTGTGGTAGTGGAGGCGTACTCGTTGCCAGGCTGGAACAATAACGCATCGTCTGTTTAGATAAATTTAAATCGTGTAGGGGTACAAGGCATAGCAATGACAAAGACGCAAAGAGACGTATAAAAACAATATGCATTCTGGATATTTCTCATGAGCTATGCAGGTCGCGTTAAATAAGATCACACGACAAATAAGCAATTACTCTCAGACCGTACTAGCACCATAACAGTAACAACAATAGCAATAATAATTACCTGCGACTTTTATTCATCGTTTCGGATCGTCATCGTCAACGCTTAAAGATGGCCACGACGAACACCTACGTCAGCCTCTTACCATTTAGAAGGGTTATGTATGGTTTCAAGATATCAAGGAGAAGGTAACGAATTTCGCCAACGCAACGTGAGAAACTTGACGTTGCAGTCATTCAACGATTCGCTGCTTGTGTTCTCCGGCAGAAAACTTTAAGAAAAAAGCGTAAAAAACACTGAAGCATGTCTTCGAACATCAAGTGGCTTTATTTACTCAACAATATATTTATCTCCAATGTCTGTGTAATAGAGATCGAAACGTGATTATAGTTACATTGACCCGTTGTGATATCATTCGTCAATATATATATATATATATATATATATATATATATATGTAGTCTGATCAAATGAGAACATCCTGCGGAACGTCTTGAAGGAAATCCTGATATGGCTCTTCAGATCTGAATTCTTCCATAAAGAAAGCTTACGTTTCTTAAGAACGTTTTAGAAAACATAGGAAAGCCTGCATTGGGGTTCGACGTCAACCTTGTTGCAGGACATTCGACTAGAAAAGAAAAATGCTTTAATTACCGTGAACCACATCCTCAAAGAAACTGTTATATTCAGGAAGCACCACAGTCGAACAGCGAAGTGAACAAACTTTGCACAATACGACCAGTTGCTGTTCAAGCTCAAGTTCGCTTTCGTAAACTAAGTATCCATAAAGCACTTCAGTGGGTCAATACAAACGCAGGATTTTTAGCACAGCAGGTAGCGTGGTGAAGCTGAATGTGATGAGCAAAAACGTTTATATACTACTATGTAGGTAGATAACACTACTATGTAGGTAGGAACAACACATACAGGTTAACTTTGCGCAGATAAGGAGCCTGAAAATCTCTGAAAAATAATAATAAGGAGCCTGAAAAATAGTAATAAGAGTACTATGAATAGTAATATTTAATAAGTATTAGTAAATATTTGTTTCAAAATAATGATTTTATCCAAGTAGAGAATCACTAAAAATATTATCGTAAAATTATGGCATTATTTACCAGTGTTATTCGACCCTGGACATACTTCCAAACACCTACAATGTTCGAAAGTAGGCCCAGGTTCGGGAGAACCCAAATGCTAAAATACGGATTTAGTAATTTGGGCAACTAAGGAAGCGAGACCAGTAGTTTTTTCGTATGCATAAAAAGTTCATTAAAGCTGTATAGTAGCTCCTGGTAGTAGTACTAGGCTTCGCTGATCATCTAAGGTTCGCAGCTCCCGTCGTAATTAAAAAAAAAAAAGCTGAGGAAACCGAACACTGATTTTTTGACCGGGTGCTTCACATGAACGCCGCTTTCTGCTACCAACTATAAAAGAATTCTTTATGAAATTAAGCTAAGTAAAGTAGTTCGGTCATATCGACCTTCCAGAACCTTTCTCACAGATAAACGGTTCGAGTAAACACCTGGTTACTAAGCAATCCGAACAAATTATTGCAACACATAGCCGTCTCCCTCTGGTATTAAATTTGCTCAGGTGTTTTTTCAGCAGGATCTAACGCTAGGAGAAGTTGCATTCTTAAACGACGCTTTAGTTTATGAGCGAGTGGTCAATAGCGTTATGATAATCTTATCAATGTCTTGAATTACATTGTAGATTTGGATTAAAGATTAAATGTTTTAAATATGAATTTTTGATACAATCAGATCTGGCGCTGTTTTAAATAGATCTTGATAAAACATTTGCAATTGTTGAGATGTACCGCCCAAAGGTCGTGACCAGGTCAGATCACTTTCAATTGATTTCGTATTTTAGTCCCTTTGTTTCGGGCCGCCGCTTCGCAAAAATGGGAAATATAGTCATCTACTAATTACAGCCCAACATAACTGGTTTGGAAGCTGCGGATACAACCGCATATGGTATTGGAGCTATTATCCCACATGGGCTTTAATACGTATCTGAACGCTAGGTTATCTCGAACGTATCATTCAAAAGCACCCATTAACCCGTTCATTTTTACATAAGCTTAGTGCTAATAAAAAGAGAAAGTCTTGGTAGGCAATATTCTCGATACGCTGAAACAGCAAAGAACCCTAATGAAGTGGGGTCAATATTTGTTTAAATTTAGAGAACCCTGGATCCGTATACTCTTTCGGCAGTAAGCGTTTAACAGACAACATTTTCGGATAGAAAATTTGAACTAATCTCGATCTTGGAGAGCAATAATCACCTGGCCTCGCCTATCACAGCTTAAATACAGCAATAATTGAGTTCCCCTTTGGGGCACATAGAAGGAGTTAGAAGAATGTGTTTATGTATGACAGAAATTTCGCACACAAATGGGTCACCAAAACGATCCTTTAAAAACTGCCACGACTTATGTTAAGGTTAAAGTAAGATGTGTTAAGTAAGAAGAAACAACCCCGTCTACTGTTTTGTCAGAAATTCTTGATTCTTAAAAAATGTCAGTAAAACAATTACTCAGCTAGACTTATCTGCAAAGATTGTCACACTAGAAGTAAAAATAGAAAATTCCACGAATATTAACGATATCGAAGCGGTATACACTACAAAAAATACATCGGCGTTGCCGTCCAATTAGATTGTTAATCAACCACCGGAATAAACGAAGTTGTTCCAAGGACTGTGCACATATCTTAGAAGGGAGGTATCAATATGTATAAGCATTCCAGTATAATAGCAGAGGCACACTATTTGTTAGGCCGAAACAATGAAGTGTTGTTCCTTAGGTACATGTAGACAGTTGTAGTTCTATAAGAATATAGGGCTTAACAAGATTGAAACAACGGAGACTAAAATTGATCGCGCTGGTTTGCAGTCGCCAAACAATTTCTGCATTAGTATGCAAGCTTATGTGCCGCAACTACACACTTTCAATCCTCGAGATACTTCGCTGTTCATCGATCTGCTTCGAAGTCCAGACAGGGCGCGCGTCCAAAGGAAACCTTGCATTTGTTAAAACCTTACAACATAATAACAATCTATTGGCTTGTTTATTGAGCCCGCTATAGGTTAATTATAGCTACAGGTCAGCTGCAACAGATCTACATGATGCCCGCGATAGGCATTTTAGCCTTTGAAGTGTCACAAGCGGACAGATTCGTGTTTACTATTAGCTAATCCGAAAAAATTGAATATAATATTTTTAAATGTAATAGTTGTTGTAGTATTATTATTGGTAGTAGACATCAAATGAAACATATATCTTCAATGCAACAATTATGTAAATACGGCTAAAGGGACTATATCTACCACACTGGTCAAACTATAGTGATATCTAACCATACCGATCGCCAATTTTCAACAATTACTTCTTAGTTTTTGCTTTAGTTTTAAATGCCATAATGGTATTGGTGCACGGCTTGCCCTTCAAGCTGTTCGTCTATTAGGAAAGTATAGCGGGTCATAAGGAACGTCGCAGGGCTTTCTTCGCCCCTACCGCCTCCAGATTAAAAACCGAGCAGAATCAGAGCTGAGATTGACTACACAGAACATACTGGTAGGATTTGTGAGTTTATTAATAATAGTAAATTCAATCAATTTCTATTGTGTAGTGGATTATCCGACTAAGTTCAAAATGTGTTATTCATAGTTAAGAATGTGCAAACTCTTATGTGTTATTTTAAAACTTGCTGAAGCGATCGTGTCTTCTGAAGAACTGGGAGTATCAACGATGCGGCCCAGGTGACCGGGCGAATGCATATTTTTATGCGCCTTGTATTTGGAATATCAACTCATTTACTACTGCAAAATAAAAGAGATCGCATCTGCGAAAACGCTAAGGGAAGCTTCTTTTAGATGCTTCACCAATCCGGTCTTAAATTGCCAGCTAGTCACATTGTGTTTTGTGGACACGTCGATGACGAAATTGCAAGGTATTTTGTTAAGTATTAGCTTATTCTGCCACTTATGAAGACGAATGCCAGCCGTAACTGTTATACCGTCACCTTGGCCCTAAGGCCCTAATCTGTGTGTATTAGATCTCATTTGGATATTATACACAATCATATGCTCCGTACAACATAGTTACAATCACCGTAGGTCATCATCGGTGTATGTCTGACAAATACGCACCGTTAACCCTGAGTGCTAGGACCGCCAAAGTGTAGATGTATTTGCTCAACGGAACGCCGCATAAACTACACTACACACAGCCATGCTAGGCTAGCCAACTGCACGCAAACATTAAATCACTAACTATAGATTGACTAAATTGCTATATACTACGCTACCCAACCTATGCAGCTACTGTAAATCCACTGATCTGTTACGAACTGTCATTGCAAGATTGAATGAGGTGTCGTTACGATAACTGTAACGCGACACAATAATTGAAGGCATTGTACAAAGCTAGATAGACGCATCAGTCAGCACAAACATTTCCCGTCGTTCTATTTCAGCCAAAATTGAGATCAATACTTTTTACACTTAAGAACAATCGAATTTTTTCTCATCATCCATGGTCACCCCTTTTGTAGATGGCTTTCGTAAAAGCTATGCGATTTCAAAGTCATCTTGCTGGGAAAACTATCCACACCTAACGTATGGTTTGTTTGACCACCACTGTAGCAGACCAAGCCTAGCACATTTTGGCGTTCGAAATTGATATATACATTGACAATGAACTAGTTTCAGTGGGAGTAAAATGAAAATTCAATGTCTGAGTTAAGCGTAATGATCCACAGGATCTACGGGACAAAGAGCAAAGCAGACTCGAAGCCGCCAAATGAAACATACCGTGGGCTATGAACTAAATGGGAATGAATGGTACGATGACCGCTGGAGCAACTGTGTGCTAATTAAATCTAATAAGATATACTATTTATTGATAGCAGAGATTTGATAAACGCGAATTAGCATCCGAGTATCCTTCGATTGGCCTGTTAATTTCAGTTGTGTCTGTTTTTTTAATTGTTGGCATTTGAATTTACAGCTGTGTTTAATCTCACTAAATCAGCTAATTCTAAACCCCTGCAATACCGGGTAGATGCTTTTAAAAGCCGTATAGATATCTGACCAGTCCTTGCTACCCGTCAACACCACCTGAAATTATAATTAAAATGTAACTGTAGAACAAATTACAGTTAAGTCGAAATGTTCCTACGGCTAAACTTTAAGCTCCTCGAAATCGCCGACTGATCTATGTCAAACGATGTTTTTGAATATACAATTGTCTAATACTAAATTGAATACATTGAAGTCAGAACGCTTGCGGTTGTTTTCAAATATTGTTACTGTTTAGGATCTTAAACTAGTGTTATCTTGAAGGCGATCTGACTGAGCGAAGGCAAGACCCCAGCAAAAAATACTAGGTGTTGTTAAGCCACTGGGGTGGTGAGAACAAACCTTTCCGGAAGAAAAAATTAGAAGAATAATTTGTGGTCGGAACATTTGGTAGATGAGACCAGGAAAAAGATCAGGTTCATAGGTGCAAAAATTGTTATGGGTTAAGAAGATACCCTCGATGTTCAACTCGGACCCGATACTGCACGATGCAACCACATTTCGAACGCGAAATTCCTCAAATCGCGCCTAGAAATTAATCAAACGAACTCTGTTAAAGCCTACATACTTATTCTGCTAATAAGTTTTATTGACGAACTTCTTTTCTGATATCTGGGTGACAAGATTCATTCCTCTGAAATAGCTTTAATTGGCTTAAATATCCGATATCTTCCAGTATATCGATAGTGTCGATTTTCTCGCGTATCAAAAGTGCATTACTGTTAGTAGTTGCTCCCTAGCACCTGCTGTGATATCACCAACCAATTCAATCACCAATTCGTTACTTTTGAACTCGTTCAAAATACCTGATCGTGTCGAGAAATTTTAACTCTCCATAACTAAAGCTGGCTCCAAGATCTTGTTAGCCCCATTGATTGGTAGCTGATGCCAAATGAACGCCCAAAGTCTTAGCTTCATTTCGGCACAATGAGTATTCTTTGTTTAATGGATTTCCTTGTTTATGGGTACTGCATGGTCTCATTCGCATGTCTATTCTGCATAGTGTCTATTATTGTTTGACTTCGAAGTTCAAGGCACCTTGTACATGATAAGGTGCGTTAAATTGTACGAAGGTGCCGAAACACGACTGACGTTTTCAATGAAGCGACTTAATAAATAAGCGCCTAATAAATAATAATACTACGTCCGTACATGGTAGAGGACTATCACTGCGGCCTTTTCTCTATGACGATCAGACAAACAAACCTTTAACATTACAAATTATCGCGCAGTGATGAATTTCTTATATGTAACACGTTGCTTGCAACTTGTTGTACAATCACAGTTATATTGTGATCGTGTAAATTTCATGGTCTTTATGCTTTGTTGTTAAATACCAGTCGTCTTCCTTCGGCCGATGGTCCATTCAAAAAACATGACCTAATGTTCGTCATACTCAAAACGGAGAACCCAAAAATTAGTAATACCCTTACCATCGCATTTGTTGTCGCATACTGGCGTATCTCAACCTGTTAATGTGCGTTACCCAGGTGACCATGTGTTTACAAATGCAAGCTTGAACTAGGATGTGGATATTTCAGAGACGAGCATCATTTGCCAATCTCTGCTAAATGCTCCGCTTGCACAATATGTTGGCAGTTTTTACTTCCGTCACACCAATGATTGATAAAAACAACAAAATTGGTCCCTTAATTTAATCTTGATGAATGGTAGTCGGCTCTACAATACCTCAAAGCCGATCTTTTGAAGTATGCGAGCGAATTTTCTAGCTGCCAGCCTTGACGAGTCTTCAGATCGTGTACCTGTCACTACAATCCTACCGGATGAGAACATCAGTGCAGTGGCGCGCGGTTCCTTCAGCCGCATTACTAGACCAGAGAAGAATTCAGGGTTATAGTCTGCATTCAGAGCATGCTGAGCAATGACACGAAGATCCAGTCGACAACCAACGTTAATTGTGCTCAGGATGTTCTCGAGTGTGGGGGCAATACGAGGATGTGGCTGAAGACTGTAGGCTAGTGACGTGTTCAGAGAAGCATTTGATGGGCCAGCTGATTCGCCTGTAATCTGCTAGTCGGAAAGGGGGTAACAGTGTCAATCAAGATGGATCAGTTAAAACAATACATGTGTGCCAAAAAGTGTCGCGTTTCACAAGAAATGATAATTAGCTTAAAACACTTGTACTTTTTACTAACATTTTATATTTTCTAGACAAAAAGTACCTTTTCTAAGCAAAACAGGTCTTTCTCTTAAAAAATTTAGTTTTACGCAAATGATTTTTAAATAAGTTAACCGATTTGATGTTTCAGAATTTTTTGCTGCAGCGTACTTGTTAGAACTTTTCTGTACCATTACTTGTCCGCGTTGAAACAAACATTTTCCATACCAACTAACTCAAAACCTTGTTCAAAACGGGATGTTGAGTGGAGATACATTCACAGTTGAATAAACAGTTACGAAGTGAAACTGGATTACCAGTTTATTATCTAGTTGAAGGCTTGTAATGTGCGAGCCTTGATTATAAAATTGTTGCGAGAAGAGCCTAAGCCATTGTTGAGTAAGTAATCTATGCGTAGACGGAGAACTGTAGTTTATTTAAATAATGGATGAGATAGCTATACATTGTTAGTACAATATTCGCCGGCATAGATATTCTTTTTTCGCGCTTAAATTAGCCACGGTCGTATAGGTGATGGCGCAGTATATATAGATATAAATCGCTAGAATCGATTCACAAGGAAGCTTTCAACACAAAGCAGAATTCTTGTATTAAACAGAACAGTGACAACAGTATATACTCAGTTTATACCCCGTGTGGTAGGCAAAGTGTCTGCTGTAGAAACTTTTTTGCATTGGACATTGCTAATGTTGGGTAACGGCATAAAATCATCACATTTTCAACAACAATATGTATCCTAAAGAGAATGTGATCTTTCCTTAAATGCCAAGCATCTCTTACGAGTAAGCAGCTCTATCAAACAGATGCCTTGGCTATATTCATCAGAGTGAAAATATTACCTCAATGTAAGCCTAAACCCACTACAATACATTACCAAAAATTGAGCGGATGTGGGACATAAGACGCTTTGCTGCTTGACTATGTCCCGTATAAAAATGGTATTCGATGACCGCTTCCGACGCTGTTTGCGTTGATTGACTTTTCCGCCGACGGATTGACAGTCTTGTTGAAACTGTCTAGGCTGTTGGAACAGCCGCTGGAATTGGTACTTCTGTTCGAGTTCCTCTCCCGGTCCTGGTAGTTGTTGGTCCCTTTGTTGTTGTTGCTGTTTTTGTCGTTGTTGTTGTTGTTGCTGTTCCCGCTTTTGCTGATGCACCTCTTGCTCTTGTTGGTGCTTGTCTACAAATTGCTGATGATGATCATGATTCACTATCAATTCGTTCGGCTGTTTTTGTTGTTGAATCTGCTGATATGGGTCATTCTGAGGCTCCTGCAGCAGTTGCTGCTGCTGTTGTTGGTCTCCCGACTGTAATGGGTGGTGTTTTTGTTCTAGGGGTTCTTCCAGTTGTTGTTTTTCTTCCTCTAGTTGTTGTTGTTGTTGCTGGTGCTGTTGTTGTTGTTGCTGCTGCTGATGTTGTTGTTGCTGCTGCTGCTGCTGTTGTTGTTGTTGCTGTTGTTGTTGTTGCTGCTGCTGTTGTTGTTGCTGTTCTT